GGGGGACGGACAGCGGGACAGTGACGGGGGGGCTCTCATCTTTCCAGGGTCCCCGTGTCACCGGGCGAGGTGTGGGGACGGGCCATGGATCCCTGGGGGGCTGCGGAGCCGGAGGCGACGGCGCTTTTTGGGGGTGTCGGGAAGGAGGAGGACGCCTACGACCCCCCCGTGATGCAGGGTAAGTGGGGAGGAGGGCGGGGGGAAGGTCCTCCTGGAGCTCCAGCCTTGGGGAGGGGATGGAGATCCCCCATCCTGTGGCGTGTGTGTCCCCCCCCACCCTCCAAAACAGAGCCCGTGTCCTCGGTCCCTGCACCAAGGACCCACCAAGAAGCTCAAAGTTATGGGGTCCACCAGCCTGGACCCCCTTGATTCCATGGGAAGGGGTTCTCCATCCCCCACCCTCCAAAACAGAGCCCGTGTCCTCAGTCCCTGCACCAAGGACACACCAAGAAGCTCAAAGTTATGGGGTCCACCAGCTTGGACCCCCTTGATTCCATGGGAAGGGGTTCTCCATCCCCCACCCTCCAAAACAGAGCCCGTGTCCTCGGTCCCTGCACCAAGGACATGCTGAGAAGCTCAAAGTTATGGGGTCCACCAGCCTGGACCCCCTTGATTCCATGGGAAGGGGTTCTCCATCCCCCACCCTCCAAAACAGAGCCCGTGTCCTCGGTCCTTGCATCAAGGACCCGCCGAGAAGCTCAAAGTTATGGGGTCCACCAAGCTTGGACCCCCTTGATTCCATGGGAAGGGGTTCTCCATCCCCCACCCTCCAAAACAGAGCCCGTGTCCTCAGTCCCTGCACCAAGGACACACCAAGAAGCTCAAAGGTATGGGGTCCACCAGGTTGGACCCACCGAGAAGCTCAAAGGTATGGGGTCCACCAGGTTGGACCCCCTTGATTCCATGGGAAGGGGTTCTCCATCCCCATCAACCCACCCCACATTGGGACTGACCCCCCATCTACCATCCCCCTCTGTCCCAGGGACACCGAGTGACCTCAAGATGGAACCCCTGCCGGTGGGTGACCCCGAGACCGTCGAGCTGGACAAGGCCACCTTGTTGGGTCACCCTGAGGAAGGTTCCCCGGGGGAGCGCAAGCCAACATGGGAGACCTTACATTGGACCGTGGTCCCTCAGATGGACACCCCCGGCGCGGCGGGAGGTCGGCGCGGGGGTGAAAACGCCCCGGGGGCCGGCGCCTTCCCCAATTTCAACAGCCTCATCGTCCTGCAGAAGGGCTACGAGTGCGGGGAGTGCGGCAAGAGCTTCAGCTGCAGCTCCCACTTCAGCAAACACCGGAGAACCCACACGGGGGAGAAGCCCTTCCTCTGCCTCCACTGCGGCAAGAGCTTCAACGTCAGCTCCAACCTCTACCGGCACCAACGGGCTCACGCCGCCGAACGCTCGGGTCCCCCGGCCCCACCGGCGCGTCCCCGGGGCCTGCCCTACAAGTGCGAAGAGTGCGGGAAGAGCTTTCGGCGCAACAAGGAGTTGGTGACCCACCAACGGCTCCACACCGGCCGCCTGCCCTTCCAGTGCCACCACTGCGGCAAGAGCTTCAGCTGGAGCTCCCACTTCGACCGCCACCAGCGCGTCCACACCGGGGAGAAGCCCTACCAGTGCCCCGAGTGTGGAAAACGCTTCAGCCGTAGCTCCCACCTCTACCGTCACCAGCGCACCCACGCCGGAGGCCGCTCCTACATCTGCACCTACTGCGGGCGCAGTTTCGGCAGCATCCTCCACTTCGACCGCCACCAGCGCACCCACACCGGCCTACGGCCCTACAAGTGCACCCTCTGCCGCAAGAGCTTCGGCGACGGCCTGGCCTTGGTCAAGCATCAACGTCTCCACTTGGGCGACGGGCCTTTCCGTTGCGAGGAGTGCGGCAAGGCCTTCGGCGCCCGGGCCCAGTACGCCCAGCACCGCCGCAGCCTCCACGGTGGTGGTGGTGGTGGTGCTGGTGGTGGTGGTGGTGGTGGTGGTGATGGTGGGGGAGGTGGTGGGGAGAAGCCCTACCGTTGCGGCGACTGCGGGAAGAGTTTTTCCTGGAGCTCCCACTGGGAACGACACCAGCGCATCCACACCGGCGAGCGGCCCTACCAGTGCGGGGACTGCGGCAAACGCTTCGGCCGGACCTCCCACCTCTACCGGCACCAACGCACCCACGCCGGGGGGCAGCCCCACGTCTGCGCCGACTGCGGGAAGAGCTTCAACAGCACCCTCCACTTCCACAAGCACCAACGGGCTCACGCCGGGCCCCGGCACGCTTGTCCCGATTGCGGCAAGGCCTTCGCCGACGGTTCGGCCTTGGCCAAGCACCGGCGGGTCCACGCCGGCGAGAAGCCCTTCCCCTGCCCCCAGTGCGGCCGCCGCTTCGGCGTCATCTCCCACCTTTACCGTCACCTCCGGCGCCACGGCCAGGAGGAGCCGCCGGAGGAGCCGCCGGACGAGCTGACGCCCCGTTAATCCGGGGGGATGGGGAGAAATCGGGGTGGGGGGGACACACAACGTTGACCCCCTTCCTTGGGTGGCTCCTGTCTCCCCCCCCGCCGCTGCCGTGGGGTGCCTCGGGGAGCCCCCATGGGTGGTGGGTGCACCCAAGACGGTGATGTCCCCCCGTGGCACCAAGCCCGGCCCCGAGGACGTAGTTTTTTGTAGGGTAGAGTAGGAAGGTAGGGTAGATAAGGGAGGATGGAGATGGGGCTGGGGGGGCCGAGAGGGAATTTTTGGGGGGGGAGGTGGCCCCCTCCACAAAATCAGACCAAATCCTGCCAACAGACACCAGGACATCCCGACCGTGCTCTTCCTCCTCCTTGAGGCGTAGTCCAGGAGAAACCACCTCAGTGAGTGGTGGGAAGGTGGTGGTGAGCTGCTGGGGAGGGGGCTGGAGGTGTGGGACGTCCCACCGGCTCCTTCCCAAACTCTGAGGGACCTCCTGCACCCCAGAATATCTGAGGTGGCTTCATCCCTTGACCATCCCACCTTCCCCAGCCTTGACCAACACCCAAAGCCTCAGCCCTCCAAGCCGCATTTGGGCCGTGATGACACCATCTACCCAATGACACCATTTGGGGCAAAATATCCTGATTTTGTGGCTTTGGTGTTAAGAAACCAGCCCGGGTGTCCACCCCCAGTGGTTCCTGGCCACACGACCATTGGTGATGCTTCGGTGCAGACCCAGCGGGAGTGGTTTATTTAATGTATTTATTGTATTTATTCAGCAGGAGCTGGAGGAACCCAACGTGTTGGGGTGAGCTGGAGGTTGGTGAGGACAGGAGCTGGGATGAGGGAGGGTTTGTCCCCAAACCAGTGTGGGGATGCTCCTCTTGGGTTGACCAATCAACCACCACGCTCCTGGTGGAACCCATTGGTGATGGGGAGGAGGTGGCACCACCCACATGAGGGAGAGGATGCTCATGGCTCCTCTTGGGTTGACCGCTCAACCATCACACTCCTGGTGGAACCCATCAGTGATGGGGAGGAGGTGGCACCACCCACATGAGGAAGAGGATGCTCATGGCTCCTCTTGGGTTGATCGATCAACCATCACACTCCTGGTGGAACCCATCGGTGATGGGGAGAAGGTGGCACCAACCAGACAAGGGTTTGTCTCCAAGGCAGCATGGGGATGGTCATGGTTCTTTCTTGGTTGATCAACCAACCATGATGCTCCTGGTGGGAACCCAGCAGTGATGGGGAGGAGTTGACACCACCCAGACAAAGGAGGGGATGCTCATGGCTCCTCTTGGGTTGATCGCTCAACCACCACTGCTCCTGGTGGGAACCCAGCAGTGATGGGGAGGAGGTGGCACCACCCAGAAGACGGAGGGGAGGCTCATATTGCCTCTTGGGTTGACTGATCAACCACCAGCTCAACCACCACTGCTCCTGGTGGGAACCCATCAGTGATGGGGAGGAGATGGCACCACCCAGAAGACGGAGGGGTGGCTCATGTTGCCTCTTGGGTTGACTGATCAACCACCAGCGCTCCTGGTGGGAACCCATCGGTGATGTAGAGGAGGTAACACAACGCATGGCTGGAAAGAACCCCCCAGGAGATGACAGGGAGCATCACGGGCAGGTGTTTCCCAGCTGACGAGAGGTGAACCCTTGGGGTTGAACCTCAGGGATGGGAGCAGGACACAAATCCAGGGGTTTCCTGGCACAGGGTGGGGTCATGGCCGTGCCGGCCACCTGGTCCATCTCTTCCCAAGGTGAGGAGGAGCTGTGTTTGTTTTGTGAATAAAAATAGACTAGTTCAAAACCCGGCCGGTGGCTTCTGCTTCTCCTCGGAGGACCTGCAAATCCCAGCTCTCGGGATCAACCACTTGGGCATCACCTTGGGCAATTACTTGGGCATCTCTTTTTGAGTAAATCCTTGGGCAACTCATGGGGCAACTCCTTGGGAATCTTCTTGGGCAACAAGCAACTTGGGTATCTCCCTGGGCAACTCCTTGGGTAACTCCTTGGCCAGTTCCTTGGGTATCTCCTTGGTTATCTCCTTGGGTAATTCCTTGGGCATCTCCTTGGGCATCTCCTTGGACAACAGACAACTTGGGCAACTCCTTGGGCAACTCCTTGGGCATCTCCTTGGGCAACTCCTTGGCCATCTCCTTGGGCAATTCTTAGGGCAACTCCTTGGCCATCCTTGGGCAACTCCTTGGGGATCCTGGGCAACTCCTTGGGCATCTTCTTGGGCAACAACTTGGACATCTCCTTGGGCATCTCCTGGGGCAGTAAACAGCTTGGCGATCTCCTTGGGTAATTCCTGGGGCAACTCCTTGGGCATCTCTTTGGGAATCTCCTTGGGCAACAACTTGGGCATCTCCTTGGGTGTCTCCTTGGGTGTCTCCTTGGGCATCTCCTTGGCCAGATCCTTGGGTATCTCCTTGGGTAACTCCTTGGGTAATTCCTTGGGCATCTCCTTGGGCATCCTGGGCATCTCCTTGGGCAACAGACAACTTGGGCAACTACTTGGGCAACTCCTTGGGCATCTCCTTGGGCATCCTGGGCAACTCCTTGGGCATCTCCTTGGGCAGCAACTTGGACATCTCTTTGGGCATCCTGGGCATCTTCTGGGGCAGTAAACAGCTTGGCCATCTCCTTGGGCAATTATGGGGCAACTCCTTGGGCATCCTTGGGCATCTCTTTGGGAATCTCCTCGGGCAACAACTTGGGCATCTCCTTGGGTGTCTCCTTGGGCATCTCCTTGGCCAGTTCCTTGGGTATCTCCTTGGGTAACTCCTTGGGTAATTCCTTGGGCATCTCCTTGGGCATCCTGGCCATCTCCTTGGGCATCTCCTTGGGCAGCAACTTGGACATCTCTTTGGGCATCCTGGGCATCTTCTGGGGCAGTAAACAGCTTGGCCATCTCCTTGGGCAATTACTGGGGCAACTTCTTGGGCATCTCTTTGGGAATCTCCTCGGGCAACAACTTGGGCATCTCCTTGGGTGTCTCCTTGGGCATCTCCTTGGCCAGTTCCTTGGGTATCTCCTTGGGTAACTCCTTGGGTAATTCCTTGGACATCTCCTTGGGCATCCTGGGCATCTCCTTGGGCAACAGACAGCTTGGGCAACTCCTTGGGCAACTCCTTGGGCATCTCCTTGGGCAACAACTTGGACTGCTCCTTGGGCAATTCCTGGGGCAACTCCTTGGGCATCCTCAGGCATCTCCTTGGACAACCAACAACTTGGGTATTTCCTGGGCATCTTCTTGGGTGTCTCCTTGGGCATCTCCTTGGGCAACAACTTGAATATCTCCTTGGGCAATTCCTTAGGCATCTCCTCGGGCAACTCCTTGGGCATCCTGGGCAACTCCTTGGGCATCTCCTTGGGCAGCAACTTGGACATCTCTTTGGGCATCCTGGGCATCTTCTGGGGCAGTAAACAGCTTGGCCATCTCCTTGGGCAATTATGGGGCAACTCCTTGGGCATCCTTGGGCATCTCTTTGGGAATCTCCTCGGGCAACAACTTGGGCATCTCCTTGGGTGTCTCCTTGGGCATCTCCTTGGCCAGTTCCTTGGGTATCTCCTTGGGTAACTCCTTGGGTAATTCCTTGGGCATCTCCTTGGGCATCCTGGCCATCTCCTTGGGCATCTCCTTGGGCAGCAACTTGGACATCTCTTTGGGCATCCTGGGCATCTTCTGGGGCAGTAAACAGCTTGGCCATCTCCTTGGGCAATTACTGGGGCAACTTCTTGGGCATCTCTTTGGGAATCTCCTTGGGCAACAACTTGGGCATCTCCTTGGGTGTCTCCTTGGGCATCTCCTTGGCCAGTTCCTTGGGTATCTCCTTGGGTAACTCCTTGGGTAATTCCTTGGACATCTCCTTGGGCATCCTGGGCATCTCCTTGGACAACAGACAGCTTGGGCAACTCCTTGGGCAACTCCTTGGGCATCTCCTTGGGCAATTCTTAGGGCAACTCCTTGGCCATCCTTGGGCATCAACTTGGACATCTCCTTGGGCATCTCCTGGGGCAGTAAACAGCTTGGTGATCTCCTTGGGCAACAACTTGGGCATCTCCTTGGGTGTCTCCTTGGGCATCTCCTTGGCCAGTTCCTTGGGCATCTCCTGGGGCAACTCCTTGGCCATCTCCTTGGCTGGGGGGGGTGGGGGGCGCAGCGTTACCCCCTGAGGGTATATTTGCCCCCACATCTGAAGCCTGATGAATTTGGGGGTCCGGACCGCCTATATTTGCCCCCTCCTCCCCCTCCGCACCACCCCATCCAACTATCGGGATTCTCCAGTGTCTAATATAGGGGTTGAGCTCCCATGGGGTTGGGGGCGGGAGGTGGGGGGGGGACACACACACACACCGGGAAAAGGGGGTTCGGGG